AGCTGTGTAAAGATACATTAAAAACTTGAGTTTTTCAGCTTTTTCACCATTTTTGCATTAGCGTTTAGCAGTGTTTTGCCACGATTAGCAGCGTTTTCCCACGTTTTTCCACATTTGCGTTTTTTTTTACCCCCAAAAAATACCATTTTGTGGAGTTTTGCTTTGTTTTTCCGCATTAGATCATTTTTACAGCTAAAAAACTCATCTAGAACCCCACTAGTCCCAACAAACGTCCCTGCCAAAAACGTTGATTACAGTCTATGTGTGTATGGACACAAAGGATAACTGCTGGGGAGTTTACTGGCCGTAGGAAAAAAGTCAAAAGCCAAAAACAGCCGCTGTAAAAACATCCAGTGTGCATGAGGACTTAGGCTCACAGCTGTCTTCAGAGGAACCCTGCAATTGCACCCAATAAATGGCGTATCAGCAGGTAAGGGACCACTCCTTTAAGGCTCGGTTCACACTGCCGTGACTTGGGATTCGACTTGTGAGACATGTGAAATCCCATGTTAGTCGATGAGATCTATCTTAATTACTGAAATCGCTCCGACTTTAGAAAAGGTTCCTGTACTACTTCAAGGCGACTTCTGCCCATAGACTTCAACCCCCTTCAAGCCGACATAACACAAATATGTGGCCTCACAGAACTGTGCTTTTTTCCGTGGTGCTGCATATTTGTGTACCTGTCACTGAGAGCCCGGGGTCCTGTTCTAATGATCGGGACCCAGGCAAGGGTGTATTTACCACAAGGCATTTGCCTAGGGTGGCATTTTTAAGGGGCGGCAGCACTGCCCCTTGGAAGAATGAACACACGCGGGCATGGGGACCTTGTGGGTTCCGAGAGATGCTGTGGGTTTCATGACAGTGTATGCACAGCCTGACTCTCGTTCCTGGGGATGCCCGGAGCTGTGAAGGTGAGTGTCTTTCTCTCTCGCCATGGGGGATGGTGGCTGGTATATGGGGGCAGTGGTAGTGGAAGGCTCGCGTGGAGGGCAGGGGGTGTTCTTGGTCAATGTCAGGCTCTTTCTCCGGGGGGGGGGGGGGGCAATTTTTGTGTTGCCTAGTGCAGCACAAAACCTAAATACACCACTGGACTCGGGACTCCCGATTCTGGGTCACATGATCGCTGTGATAGTCTCTGATTGGCTATTACAGTGATCAGTCACTGTGAAGCCTGCCCTCCCTGGGTTTTTTTCTCTCTAAATAGAAGAGAGAGATACAGTGTATCTCTCTCTCTCTCTCCTTGCAGAGAGGAAAAAAACAATTGTTTGTAAAAAAAAAAAAAAATAAATATTAAAAAAATTAAAAAATTTAAAATTAATATAAAATACCTAGATCAAGGTTTGATCTAGTTCAGTGCCATAGTTAGTGTTTGGGTCAAGGTCAGGGTCAAAGGTCAGAATGAAAATAAATTGGTATCAGCGTCAGTTAGTGTCAGTATGTTTTAGGTAAAAAACAAAATGTGCACTATTGCTTCTGGGCTGTACTACGGGTACATCAACAAATAACATACACATATGTGGTATCCCTGCGATCGTCAAGAGCTGGAAAATTTATTTTGGGTTGTTCTTTTGGTGGTAAGTTATGGAAGTAACAAGAAACACATAGCTAAATAAAAAAATTTTTTTTTTTTTTTTTTTTTTTTACTATTTTGGGCCAGTTTTCTTAGAAAATAAGAAAAAAAATCAGGAGATATCCATTACCATTTACCACCAAATGAAAGCCCAATTTGTCCTGAAAAAAATGCGGTATAATCTACCCGTATGTACAAAGTAGTTGTGATGATATGTACGGTTTTACTAACACATGTCAAAGTTGTAAAATTTTACTTAGGCTTTAAATTTGTTTTACCCTTAGGAGTGAAGGGGTTAATGGAAGTTGCCTCCAAGTCGGATCCTCATCTATATTGATGTGATTCGGATCCGACATTACAAGAAGCTTACCCAGGCATTCCCCGAAAGGTGCTTCAGAGTTGTTTCAAATTTGCTTCAAAGTAGTACTCAAGTCACTGTCAAGGTCCTACCTTTTCCCAGAGGTTATGTTACTCCATGTGCTGGCATCCATCTTGGATTTCTGCTGAGCATGGTGGGAACCTTTTATGCCTTCAGGTCTCTGAGGTCCATCCCCCAGAGGGGTGTGGCTGAGTACATATAAGCCTGGGATCTGCACATGCTCTTTGCACTTGTGTCTTGTGTCTTGTCTTGCTACAGCTCTGTGTATATGCTTGTGACTCTTCTGGTATTCTGACTCGGCTTGTGACTAAGACCATTCTCTGTGTTTCCCTTTGATCTGACCTTCCGTTGCTGAACCCGGCCCGTGACCTGTGATTCTCTGTCTACTGTTCTGTACTGTTTTGTCCTGTTGTTGTTGACCCGGCTTGCCTGACTACGCTATTGTCATTCTCACCAGCTACACGCCATTGGCGGCGGCCTTTACTGCAGCCGGGGTGTGTCGGGGGCCGCGACCTGGTTCCTGGCTGCGTCAAGTCCATCCCCACCATCAGGGGCCCTGGTGAAGGGCAGCCTGGGACTTAGACTCCGCGCCCTGAGGGACTTCGGTCTGTTGGTGGTGGTTGTCGTCAGCCAGTGCCTTACCCTGCCACTAGGCCTATCTGTCCGTTCCACAGCCCTGCCCTGACAGTCACCTGGCAAAGTCACACTGTAAGTTGGCAACTTTCAGGTCACAGTAGTGTGAACCAAGACTAAGAGAACCTGTCACTTTCCCCCAGGTGGGCAATGTAACCGAGTCTATTTAAAATGCATGACTGCTCAGAAGGACCCATGTATATGCACTGCACTTGTTGAGCCCATTAAAACATGTTTCAGCCATCGAGGAGAAGTTACTAAAGGCCAATAGACTGTGCACTTTGCAAGGGCAGTTGCTCCAGAGCTTAGTAAATGAGGTGAAGCTTCACTTTGCAAAAAACACCAAATCACATGCAAGGAAATAAGAAAAAACTTGCTTGCACATGATTGGATGATGGAAGTCAGCAGAGCTTCACCTCATTTACTAAGCACTGGAGCAATTGCGCTTTTGCAAAGTGTATAGTCTATTTGCCTTTAGTAAATCAACCCCATTGAGTTGCATTGTAGGTCATGCATTTTGTATGGGCTGCTACAACACAGCTCAACATATGAAAAGCACACGTGTTGGTGCTGAATTAAGACAAAGTGAAAGAAATCATTTCATAAAGTGTTGACTTGGGAGGCATAGTGCTCTGGCCTACATTATACAAGATTACATTGAATCACAAGGACCAAGGAAACATTCCTCCTTAGGAACAGTACATAAAGTCACAAAGGAGCCCCATCATTCCTTGTTTTAACAAGAACACCAGACATTATTAATTGTGCAGGGGATACTAAAAAAAACAGAAGGGGTGTGTCCTACAATTCAGATCACTCTTAAGGCACCATCACTGTATTGAAAGCAAACCAAACAACCTCCACCCATGAGAACTGTGCCTTCCAGAGATAATAACCAAACCAACAACATTTTTAGTGTACAAATTAAAAACAGAATCTATATTATATATTATCTATAACCATAGAATATTGCAATTTACCAATTATTAGATGTGGGGGCTGCATTAGTTTTCTTTTTTTTAGGCTTTTCCCCTGGTGATCTTGCCAGTAACACACCACCTGTATTAGAATGCCCCCAATCTGGATGAGGGAGTACAGGGGGCACCTTTGGACAGCAACATTGTCAGTTTGGAGGGGAAGGGGAGTGTTAGGTGTACTAGCAGATTTAGATGCACTAACAAATTGAAGCCAAACTCCAGCTCATACTTTATAGGCAGTTACAACAAACATTTTTTTTTTCCTTTTGAGATAAAGGTATTACATTAAGAAATAAAAAATGATCATCGTAAGCATCCTTGTCAGTGGTAAATGGCTTGTCTCAACCCTCTAACTGCTGCATCTGCAGGACAGCTTGTTCTGACCAAATCACCAGGTGAAAATAGAAGAAAAAAGCCTAAACAAGAAAATGAACCACTTCCATGCTGCCCTATAGCAGAAATACTGCTACAGGGTGGCATGGGTGTGCAAAATCATGTATATATACAGTGAAACACAGCACACAGACTCATCGTAAAACAGCACACAGTTAACCCTTTGATCGCCCCAAATGTTAACCCCTTCCTGCCCAGTGCCATTAGTACAGTGTCAGCTTTTTATTAGCACTGATCACTGTATCACAAGTGAGTTCCCCTCAGTGTCAGAATGCCCGCTGCAGTTCTGCAGTCCCGCTATAAGTCGCTGATCGCCGCCATTATTAAAAAAAAAAATGTCCACTCTTTATACAGCCATTTGCAAACGCTATAACTTTCATGGAAACCAATTAATTTACACGTATTGGGATTTTTTTTTTAGCAAAGACATGGAGAGCAAGTGGTTAATGCTGCCATCACATCTAAGAACTGGCAAACTGCAATGTAATAAATGTTTGCTATTGGGTTTAATACTGCTTTAATCTATAATATAGATTCTGTTTTTAATTTGTTCGATAAAGATGTTGTTGGTTTTCGCTATACCGTATTTTTCGCTCCATAAGACGCACTTTTTTCCCCCCAAAAAAAGGGGGAAAATGTCAGTGCGTCTTATGCAGCAAATGTAAAGCGGCCGGTCCGGTATTTCTGCCGCCACCATGTCAGAATATCGGACCGGCCGCTCAGCTGTTCTTTCCTGCAGGACCTTACCTGTTCCTCGCTCCAGCGCTGCAGTCTTCCCGCAGCGGCTTCTGTGACAGACGGGTGCCCACTGCGCATGTGCGAGAATCGTTGCACTTTGTGAATGGTCCGGTGACAGGTCCCAGACACATGACAGGTCCCAGAAGGCTCCGGGCCATTCACAATATGCATGGCTTCTCGCGCATGCGCAGTGGGCACCCAGCTGTCACAGAAGCCGCCGCGGGAAGAAGAAGGAAGGACAACTCCGCGGAAGTGGGAGCGGGTACCTGTCAAATTCAGGTACCCGTTCCCCCTCCCTCCCCAAAGGTCCGCAGTCTCTGGTAATCTCCTTTACTGTCTGCAGTCTCTGGTCATCTGTACTATATCCACAGTCTCTGGTCATTCCCTGTACTGTGTCCGCAGTCTCTGGTCATCTCCTGTACTGTGTCTGCAGTCTCTGGTCATCTCCTTTACTGTCTGCAGTCTCTGGTCATCCCCTGTACTATGTCCGCAGTCTCTGGTCATCTCCTGTACTGTGTCCGCAGTCTCTGGTTATCTCCTGTACTATGTCCGCAGTCTCTGGTCATTCCCTGTACTATGTCTGCAGTCTCTAGTCATCTCCTGTACTGTGTCCACAGTCTCTGGTCATTCCCTGTACTGTGTCTGGCAGTACTCTGTCCGCAGGTCATCTCCTGTACTGTGTCCGCAGTCTCTGGCCATCTCCTGTACTGTGTCCGCAGTCTCTGGTCATCTCCTGTACTGTGTCCGCAGTCTCTGGCCATCTCCTGTACTGTGTCCGCAGTCTCTGGTCATCCCCTGTACTGTGTCCGCAGTCTCTGGTCATCCCCTGTACTGTGTCCGCAGTCTCTGGTCATCCCTGTACTGTGTCCGCAGTCTCTGGTCATCCCCTGTACTGTGTCCACAGTCTCTGGTCATCCTGTACTGTGTCCACAGTCTCTGTCATCTCCTGTACTATGTCCGCAGTCTCTGGTCATCCCCCTGTACTGTGTCTGCAGTCCATTGGTTCAGAATATTTTTTTTTCTTGTTTTTCTCCTCTAAAACCCAGGCGCGTCTTATGGTCAGGTGCGTCTTATGGAGCGAAAAATACGGTATGCGTTTGTTTACTCCCGTTTTTTTTCCTCCACCGAGTTTCTTTTGGGGTGGAGGTTTTGTGGTTTGATTGTGCAATGACAAACCCTACTAAAGTCTATGATGAGCAAAGCAAGCCACAAGAAAATGTTTTTCTTCCATGCAGTGGAACCAATACAAAACATTTCTAAAGAGTAAAGCCGGCCATACACGGATTGAAATTCAGCCAGTTTGGCAGGAACCACCAGAACTTTGATCCATGTATGGACAGGTTGGTTGCACAGAAGACAATCTACCAATCAACTTCTGTACAACCAGCCTGTTGGGTTTTTCCTGATCAATTAGTACAGCCGGCTGTAGCCAGCAGCACTGATCTGTGTATTCTGACATCGAGGAAGTCTGCCTGCTGTCAGCATACAATAGCTCAGTGGAAGTGATTCCCTCTTCCACATCGAGTGTGTGGATGAGGGAATTGGGTCATTTTTTTTATTTCAACCCACTGGAAAAAAATTAGTAATACATGGGCTGCCTAAGAGTAAGGGGAAATGCCAGTATCTGTATAAAAAACGAAGTTAGCACATGACAAAATTTTTTTACTTACCTAAGTTTGCAGCCCATGACCCTCACCGATACTGCTTCCAGGTATTTTAAACCGGTGACCCAGCGCTGCAGCCTGTGCTTGCATCACCCGGTCTCCTCTTCATGACATCAACATGCCACTGCACTCCTCTGGATCCTGAGAAGACCCTGCTGCTGAACAGCGAATACGAAGTGTCTATATTATCCAGACAGTTATATGGACACCCAAAGAAGATTCTTTCCTGTCTGCAGGGAAGAAGATAGATTTGGTACCTGACTTGTTTTGTGACATCATATTTAGGTGAATAATTTGTGCAAATACCAAGGGGGTATTTGCACAAAGATCAGGTTTAAAATAAGCCGAATCTACATACTAACCTGCTAAGCAAGTATGCTTTGGCCAATGTCAATAGTATTTTTACAGTAGGAGAGTTCATAGGGAGCATCTGCCATGGGGAGACTTTAAGCTTGGAGATGACAGCTGGTGTCCATTAGAACTGGAAACATGCACTAGGCAGCACTTCTAAGAGTACGAAGCGGACTCTGAGGTGAAGAGAGAAGAGGACATGAAGGCACCTCTAAGTGCAGTAGATCCAGAACTTTAATAAGAACGGTTAAAACCACTTACAGTAGTAAGAATAACAGGCTCATCAATGAACGTCGTTGCAGGGCTTCTGTCACTGTGAAGCAACCCACCATGCTAGCCAGCAGCTGCAGGAGGAGCACAGAGTGTGATGTCACGATGGTTGCCACTGTTCCAAGACCACTGGAACACATGCTATACATGTGGAGCGCAAAACAGAAGTGACATCAAAAAGGGACGGTGATGCGTTTCGGAGCATGCGTGGGCACTCCTTCTTCATGATCAAGCCCAAGCAGTGGTGGAGCCGTATGAGTTGGGAAAGGGGGTGGGAATAGGGTGGCACTATCGTGAATGTATATATAATTAAAAACCGAGGAATGACAATACAATATGAACAAAAGCAAAATAAAAGGGGAAGTGGGAAAACAAACTAAGTAGATAATAGATGCAGGGACACTGCTCTGGACGGGGAAGGTGTAGAGTATATAATAATGACTTACTATACAGTGATAGGATCCTTCTTTCTATGTGGCAGTACTTATATGACACATATAAAATACAGTCAGGTCCATAAATATTGGGACATCGACACAATTCTAACATTTTTGGCTCTATACACCACCACAATGGATTTGAAATGAAACAAACAAGATGTGCTTTAACTGAAGACTGTCAGCTTTAATTTGAGGGTATTTACATCCAAATCAGGTGAACGGTGTAGGAATTACAACAGTTTGCATATGTGCCTCCCACTTGTTAAGGGACCAAAAGTAATGGGACAATTGGCTTCTCAGCTATTCCATGGCCAGGTGTGTGTTATTCTCTCATTATCCCAATTACAATGAGCAGATAAAAGGTCCAGAGTTCATTTCAAATGTGCTGTTTGCATTTGGAATCTGTTGCTGTCAACTCTCAAGATGAGATCCAAAGAGCTGTCACTATCAGTGAAGCAAGCCATCATTAGGCTGAAAAAACAAAACAAACCCATCCGAGAGATAGAAAAAACATTAGCCGTGGCCAAAACAACTGTTTGGAACATTCTTAAAAAGAAGGAACGCACCGGTGAGCTCAGCAACACCAAAAGACCCGGAAGACCATGGAAAACAACTGTGGTGGATGATTGAAGAATTCTTTCCTTGGTGAAGAAAACACCCTTCACAACAGTTGGCCAGATCAAGAACACTCTCCAGGAGGTAGGTGTATGTGTGTCAAAGTCAACAATCAAGAGAAGACTTCACCAGAGTGAATACAGAGGGTTCACCACAAGATGTAAACCATTGGTGAGCCTCAAAAACAGGAAGGCCAGATTAGAGTTTGCCAAACGACATCTAAAGAAGCCTTCACAGTTCTGGAACAACATCCTATGGACAGATGAGACCAAGATCAACTTATACCAGAGTGATGGGAAGAGAAGAGTATGGAGAAGGAACTGCTCATGTTCCTAAGCATACCACCTCATCAGTGAAGCATGGTGGTGGTAGTGTCATGGCGTGGGCATGTATGGCTGCCAATGGAACTGATTCTCTTGTATTTATTGATGATGTGACTGCTGACAAAAGCAGCAGGATGAATTCTGAAGTGTTTTGGGCAATATTATCTGCTCATATTCAGCCAAATGCTTCAGAACTCATTGGACGCCACTTCACAGTGCAGATGGACAATGACCCAAAGCATACTGCAAAAGCAACCAAAGAGTTTAAGGGAAAGAAGTGGAATGTTATGCAATGGCCAAGTCAATCACCTGACCTGAATCCGATTGAGCATGCATTTCACTTGCTGAAGACAAAACTGAAGGGAAAATGCCCCAAGAACAAGCAGGAACTGAAGACAGTTGCAGTAGAGGCCTGGCAGAGCATCACCAGGGATGAAACCCAGCGTCTGGTGATGTCTATGCGTTCCAGACTTCAGGCTGTAATTGACTGCAAAGGATTTGCAACCAAGTATTAAAAAGTGAAAGTTTGATTTAGGATTATTATTCTGTCCCATTACTTTTGGTCCCTTAAAAAGTGGGAGGCACATATGCAAACTGTTGTAATTCCTACACCGTTCACCTGATTTGGAAGTAAATACCCTCAAATTAAAGCTGACAGTCTTCAGTTAAAGCATATCTTGTTTGTTTCATTTCAAATTCATTGTGGTGGTGTATAGAGCCAAACATGTTAGAATTGTGTCGATGTCCCAATATTTATGGACCTGACTGTATATAAATATATATAAGTATATATAGCAATAACAAATGACTATGTACAGTTGTAAGAAAAAGTATGTCAACCCCTTGGGATTACGTGGAGTTTTGCATGAATTGGGCATAAAATGTGCTCTGAACGTGATCTAAGTCACAACAATAGAAGAACACAGTCTGCTGAACATAATACTACACAAACATTAGATGTTGCCATGGTTTAATTGCACATAACATGTAAACATTCACAGTGCAGGGAGGAAAAAGTATGTGAACCTTTGGACTTAATAACTGGTTAACCCTCCTTTGGCAGCAATAACCTCAACCAAACGTTTCCTGTAGCTGCAGATCAGACCTGCACAATGATCTGGGGTAATTTTGGACCACTCCTCTTTACAAAACTGTTTCAGTGTAGCAATATTCTTGGGATGTCTGGTGTGAATCGTTCTCTTAAGGTCATGCCACAGCATTTCAATCAGGTTGAGGTCAGGACTCTGACTGGGCCACTCCAGAAGGCGTATTCTGTGCTGTTGCAGCCATTGTTTTGTTGAATTACTTGTATGCTTTGGGTCTGTCAGGGCAGGAGCTGAGGAACGGACAGGCAGGCCTAACAATGTAATGCACTGGCTGACGACAACCACCACCCACAGACCGAAGTCCCTCAGGGCGCGGAGTCTAAGTCCCAGGCTGCCCTTCACCAGGGCCCCTGATGATGGGGATGGACTTGACGCAGCCAGGAACCAGGTCGCGGCCCCCGAGACACCTCAGCTGCGGTAATGGCTGCCGCCAATGGCGTGTAGCTGGTGGAAGAGACAAAAGAGTAGTCAGACAAGCCGGGTCAACAACAACAGGACAAAACAGTACAGGACAGCAGACGAGAATCACAGGTCACGAGCCAGGTTCAGCAACAGAGGGTCAGATCAAAGGAGAATACAAAGAATAGTCGAGTCACAAGCCGAATCAGATACCAGGAGAGTCACGAGAGTCAGAACAGAGTAATAGCAACACAAAGACACAAGACACAAGTGCAAAGAGCATGTGCAGGCCACAGGCTTATATGTCATCAGCCACACCCCTCTGGGGGATGGACCACAGAGACCTGAAGGCATAAAAGGATTCCCACCATGCACAGCAGAATCCAAGATGGACGCCAGCACATGGAGTAACATAACCTCAGGGAAAAGGTAGGACCTTGACAGGGTCATTGTCCTGTTGCATCACCCATCCTCTGCGGAGCTTCAGTTGGCGGACAGATGGTCGTACATTTTCCTGCAAAATGTCTTGATAAACTCTGGAATTAATTTTCCCATCAATGACAACAATCCGTCCAGGCCCTGAGGCAGCAAAGCATCCCCAAACCATGATGCTCCCTCCGCCATGTTTTACAGTGGGGATGAGGTTTTGATGTTGGTGTGCTCTGTTTTTTCTCCACACATAGTGTTTTTGTGTGTGTTCTTCCCAAACAACTCAATCTTGGTTTCATCTGTCCACAGTAAATTTTGCCAGTAGTGCTGTGGAACATCCAGGTGCTCTTTTGCAAACTTCAAACGTGCTGCAATATTCTTTTTGGACAGCAATGGCT